TGAAGAATTTAATGTAAGTTTCAGTGAATGTAAGAGACTCAGATCTCATCTTGATCACTAATTTGCAACCAAAATACAGCTCATAAAATTTTGTAATGGGTAATGTGAAAGAATGTTTTCTAACTATAAAAATAGTTGTAAGCATTAACATATATATATTGTGCTATTCTTAAAAAGATATGCACTAAACTGAAAGAACTGCTGATATGGAAAGCAGAATACTGCAAATAAATGCATTCATGATAGCAAAAAATAATTGACATGACTTTGTTCATCCTTTCATTTTTAGCATGCAAGCTGGTTTGTAGTTCAGGTTAACTGCAAGCAGCACATTTAAAAGATTCGGCCTAAGAAATAAAAACACTTCTGAGTTTTAAACTTTAGATATATTTAGGAAATGGTTCCTAAAAATGTGCCTCGTTTTAGTGCCATATTTTTCATTTTTTATCACATTCACATTTCTAGGAAGCATTTATAAGTTATCAAGTGACTTCACTCATTGAGCATGAGTAATAATAAAATTCTATGCATATATGACATTCCTATGTAAAAGCATCTAGAAAATAAACCTTTTGCTACAAATCTTTTGTTAACCAGTGATTCAGTAATGTATGACATGAGAGCAATGTTTCTGAACGCACAATTGTACAATCTCAGAAAAATACTTACATTTTTTACATTACTTTAGAATGGTAAGCATAAAGCATTCTTTTAATGTGATGAAAACTACTGAGCATAATTTTAAAAATATTGGATATATAACATGATTGAAGTTTTGCTTAATCATATTATAATATATAATAACATCTGATACTTTTTCAATCTAATTACCAAATGATTTTTGCCTGCCTAAGAGAAAATATGCAGAGGATTTTTGCAGAAGAATGATGTGTCTGTAATAATAATGCTTATCAGTTAAATAAGCTATGTAAATTACCATTCTGTTTGAAGTATTTAAGGCCTCTATTGTTATACCTGATTATTAAAAATGCCATTGAACAATTCATCCTCATGTGAATGTATGAAAAATATATATATTTTGAACTATCATTTTGTGGTATCCTTGAATGTGATGGTATGTCTGAATATTAGATTTTTCAGAAATTTTTTGTGTTTAAAACTTTTTTTTGAAAAATTTTTTTCAAATTTTTTGAAAAATTTTTTTTCTGATTTGCTTATTTTTTTTTTTTTTTTCTTATTAGCAAAATAGTCTGTTATGTAGAATTTTTCATTACAATTCTGTATTGTTTCTGAAAAATTCATATTATACTTTAATGCAATAAAATTCTTTTGATTATTTCATCTGCATGAAAAAAATTAAAATGAAATTAAATACTAGTTGCTGATGAATTGGTGGTAATTTTGTAAAGAAATAATGCTCTAAGATGATCACAGTATTTCATTTTGTTTAAATATCTTAAGAATTACATTTATTTTCATTTTATCCTTTGTGGGTAATCTCGCAATTTGATTGTCTAAAAAATCAAATATTTTAGTAATTTATTTTGTTTTGATTTTACATATTTTTATTGTAAAAACTTTTAAAATGTTCACCCATATTTCCAAAATATAATGGATTTGGAGATGCATTTGTTCAACATACTTTAAAAGTTTTTTAATTGAAAGACAGCATTTTTAGCCAATTATATTGTAATACAGAAAGTGTATGGTAGAGTACTTTTGCGATTATATTCTTGTAAAATGTCATGTGATATGTAATGTGGGGTGCATTTTGTTCTGTGTTCATATATTCTAGTTATAATGAAGGCCTTTTGCCTGAGTGCAGTGTGGAAACTTTGTGTATTTAAAAAGTTTTCCCTGTATGTTGTTACATTAAAATGTTAATAAAAATTTTTAAAAACAAATTTTTGTTATTATTTTTTATTATACGGAAAGCTTAATCTTTTGAATTATTGTGTACTGGCTCCATAATTACGTAAGTAAAACTTCTTTCTTGTTTCCATAGGGTTAATAAATAGTTCTTGTATTAGAATGCATGTAGCAAGATTTTTTTTTTTAACAGCATGGGAGTTTTTCATCATTTTTAAGCAATGATGTTATCAGAGCAACAAATATGTAAAATTAAAAAATAATTCTGTTCCGGTTATGTTACCTTTTGAACACGCAATGGTCATCGGAATACGCTAATATGAAGTTACTCTACAATGCAATGCTAATACTTTTATTTAATTAGTCTCCGTAATATTTTTTTCTCTCAAGTTAATTTTACTGCAGGCAGTATCTGCTTACATTCCTACCGTGTTATCCCATTCTTCACAACAGTTGTGATCCATTTGAAAGATTTCCTATTCATTGCAGGATACTACATTTATTCAGCCCTTGAATGGCATAACTACTGTAGAAACCTTTTTCGCCCATATAGACATGTTTTTAATCTGTTTAAGAATTTTACAAGCATTTTATTTTGGCCTGATACCTAACCTTCCCGACTTGTATTGTTAGGAGACTTGTTTCAATTTTTGAAAAACTTTTCAAAAATGAATGCGGCATTTTTAACAGATTTCGCATTTTGCCCATAGACTTTCTCACACCTTTGGTAATGCTTCACGACCTCAAAACAAGTGCACTTGCACAATAAACAAGCAAAGTTTCACTTTAGATGCCGCCCGGTTGCTTGCAGTGCAATCAATTTACTTGCTCGAGAATAAACTGTACCGACATTGCGGTGCCGGCATTTTGTTGTCATTTAACGCATCTTTCCAATTGTAATCGAGAATAACAATTTGTGTAGGCGACATGTGCACCACGTTATTTTCATTTTTGCGATAAATGCCTATCGGTGTGGTGTTCATGGTGCTCGCGGTTTGAGACAAAAAAAGCATCTGGACGTGCGTGGCATGTCTTTTTCACGCAAGTGGTTAATGAACACTTTCCACGATTCTAAGTAGAGATCATAATTTATTTCACCAAAGGTTGTGCGTGCTGAAATATTTGAAGTCTTGGGAAGAATCACTGGTTTGACGATTTCAATTTTCCTTAAAATGTTTAATTCCAATTTTATCAAATATTGTTATTCTAGATAGAACTTTTTCACCTTAATCATCAAATCTTCATATCAATAATGTTGCATCAAGTAATAAGGGATCAACAAAACTCAAATGTCTCTCTTCTCCAAAATTTCTGTCAAAATCAGTATATTGATATTGGTGAAATCTCTTAAGTAATTTTTTCATATACTCATATACGTCTATACTTCTCTACTTTGTTTGATCTTTTTTCTTTCTCTATCGTTAAAGATTGCCTAGATTTTATAGACTATATCTGCACTGCTGCTAAAATAGGTTTGCTGCTATATTTCGGAAAATTTTGTTCACTCTGCACTGCGTAGTCTGCAACCTGCAGCAGAGGTTGTACACTCTTCTTTTCTGTGAGATCATTTTTCCAACTTTCAATGTTCACATTGTTACGAAAGATACAGCTTTTTTCTTTCTATCTCGCACTAGGTTAAAGATATTTTGCTGCTATATATTGATATTTATAAAATTTTTCACTTCTTAATACTGCTGCTCTGCAACTGCACTGGTTGCTAGTATTACTCTTCTTTTAATCTGTTGATATTTTTCGTCTTCCAAATTTCGTTCATCATGTATGTCTGACACGTCTTTCATGAAAGCTTAGCAGCCCAATGAAAAGTTGTACATTGATACACTGCTTGATCACTACAAATTTCAATGTGAAATTTTGTTCCCTGTAAAATCTTTTATTTTTTAAAGTATACTCTGCCTACAGACTCCATTTAAGATTTATTTTCTGTACACAGGTTAGGTAACCCAATGAGATGTTGTACTATGTAACCATTAGGCATTCAAGATGAAATGGTAAGTCATTTGGTCGCCTTTACAAGTCCAACAGTTGAATATAGTGGACCCGTACACCTATTTGGCAAGAGTTTAGGAACTAAACTATTGTGCAGCTGTCTGCCGTGTTTTAAAAGGTCTCCACTTCGAACATCTTGCATATCCATAGAAATATGAGGTATTTATGTTATTTCTGCATTTTTGGAATATATTCATTACAGCACTGACAGGTATGTTTTCTTTCTGTAACATTATTTTTGATTTGTCAGGCATTTAAGAAACAGCTAGGTTAAAGAGTTTGACTAGTAGACAGATGGAATATATGCTCGACGAAGCATTTATATAGCCTGGTATGAACTAGTAGATTTATTAGCAATAGGTTATTGTGTGCCCAGAATTATTAGAACTATTCAAGAGGTGGTGTCGAGAATTTTCAATGATGTGCATGAACTTCGTTATCTATGTCCAAAATTATCGGAAGGATTCGAGAGATAGTTTCAAGAATTTTCAATGATGCAAAATGTACTGATTACTCAAAAATTCTGGCAGATACTGTATCAATCAGGTTCGTAACAAGTGATACTGATTATTCAGATACTACAGAAATTGCAATGATATTCTTTTTTTTTTTTTTTTTTTAATGAATTCTATACCGGGTATCAGTAAAGTAGTTATTCCAAAGTTTTGGGGAAAAGTGTTTAATGATTTCTTAGGTTAGGATCTAAAGATTTGAATGATCTCAGTATGTTGGTCCTCATGTTAATTGTTTGGAAAACAAAACTATTTTTAAACTTAAAAATGTTAATAGCTTATTTTTTAATAAATGTTCTTTTTTGAATAAGTTTCCCTGCAGTGCGCATTGACGTGTACCATTTAATCTATCCTTTTAAAAGACTGCTACTGCTCATGAACTAACAAAAACGCTTGACTTTTGAATTTCCTTACATTCAGTGAAATTATTATGAAAGAAAAACTAACTAGCATTTGTTTCATTAGGCTGTAGGTACTGTGACAGTGTTTAAACATTCAATTAAACAAAATATATCTTGCAGAGATTATGAAACAATTTAGCAGAAAGTAAAAGGAGTAATTTTGTATTTTAAACTAATTTTAAAAATCAAATTTTTCTTTCTACATCTCAGACATTCATGTACATTTTATTGCATAACTAAAGAAGTCTAGTTGAAAATCAGTATAGTTCTATTTTATTTTTTAAATATATATGTTGCAGTTCACTTTTATAAATTTAAAGCATATATCATTATTAATCTTCTGATTTATCTGAAGCTTTATTCTGGATTGTACAGTATTTCCATGCAATAATGCACAAAACAATTTTAAATGTTAAATTTGAGGTATATAATACATAAAGATAAAAAATATTCTAAACTTTATATTCCTGCTGTTAGCATATCATTGAAATTGCTATATAAAGCCACTTGAAGGCACACTGAATGATTATAGGATTAGAATATTAGCCATTTTATTAGACACATTTGCAGCAGAAGATTTTATATACTGTATATTCGGCCATATAACATGCACCTATAATTTCAAACTATATTTTTTAGTTTTTAGGTATATTCGTCATATCTTGCACACCCTTTTCTTTATGAAGAAACCTGAAAGATACATATGCAATGCTATTATCTTCTATCATTCATTCAAAGACATTTATCAGGCTTTTGAATAATGGTATACTAATTTGTCAAACAATAAGGAGAAATAATATGTGTGTGGGAGAAATCCTTGAGGGAGCACATAATTCTACAAAGAGGGTGCACTGTATTCAATGCAGATATGCATAAAAATGTTATTCTAGGGTTTCGAGAAAAGGGGGACATTATTTGAGGTAAAAAATGCACTTTTGACCCAATAAATTTACAAACTTATGAGTCAGATGTTTTCTCTTTCTGTAGTCATTTGAAGCAGTGATTCTGAAGTGAACAGGCTACGGCAAGGAAGGAAAAGGAGGCCAAATGCATTATGCCAATCTAGAAATAGTCTGTGAGTGGATAATAAAAGCATGGAAGGGAATTAAACAATATAATTTAAGTCATTAAAAAGCATACTAGTATATCTAACAATCTAGATGGAACAGAAGATGATTTTTTACTTATGGATAAGAATAACAGTAGTGGTGAAGATGAAATAGAATTCAATGATATGATGAACTTTTCATGTTATAAGACAAGGAAATTTTTAAGTTCATAAGGAATATCATTTCTTTTAAGCAAACAGCATTTAGGGACATGTAGAAATCTAAATTTTGTATGCACATCTTTTCCTTAGTTTTAAATCTATCATTTTTATATCTGGCATGTAACGGGCACCCATAAATTTTGACCTTATATTTTATATTAAAAGTTCATATTATAAGCCAGAATATACTGTGTATATATAATAGCAAGTATGATTTTTATAACAAAATTCAAGATTTATAAATTGTCACTTTTCATTAGATTTGTCAATACTGGATATTTTTATTATTTATATTTGTAAAATGATCATGGTATTAGTAAATGCACAAGGAATGAAAATATTGCCTACAAATGTATTCATGAAATAAGATACTTATTCAAGTTCAACAACTCCTGTTTATGGTTAAGAGAATTCCTATTTAAGGATTTTAAGAATATTTCTTTTCTCTATAACTGAAACATTTCTTTTAATTAATAAATTAATAATTGCTAAATAATATCAAAACTGAGAACCTATTAAAAATTTAACCAAAAAAAATCTACTTTTATGCAGTTATTAACATAAAAACATTGGAATTTGGATACTTAAATTTATCTTCCTGTCAAAAATATTTGATGAACAAAAACTGTTGCCAAAGAGTGTAATTTACTGCCAGTATAGTGGATAAACATGATGTCATAACATATTCATAAGCATACCATTATCTTAATTTATGTAACTCTAAACTGATCCTCAATAGCTTATGTTTTTGTAAAGGTGGATATAAGTTACTGCTATTTGTCTGTTTTTCCTTGCATTTTGAAAACAGGACCTCACTTTGACAGACAAGCATTTAGAGTAATTTTAAATTACAGGATCCTGACATCAGAAAGTTATGAATTAATGGCAACAATATGGGACTTTGTTTGAAAATGAATAAATAATGAAGCATCCGCAAAAAAACGCGACAAGCATTATCTTTTCAAAAAAGAGCATAGTTCAAAGGCACCAAAGTTATATTTGTGATTTATACTCACGTTCATTTATAACTTGTATGTGGTCATTATCCAACTATTTACGGATTTATTCTTTCAAACTTCTGCCGGAATGACTGACACAAGTTTTGCGGGATCACAATCACACCCAATTTTCATAACTGATGGTAAAGTACCAGATTTTACTAATGCCAGATTTAAATATTTTATATAAAAACTTATGCAGATATTGTTCAGTTTTAAATAAATAACTTTTGCATTTGAAAATGCACATAATCTAAAACTAAGAAACGTGAACATTATCACCAACATATATATATATATATATAAAAGAAGGCACAAACTTAAAAAAAAAAAAAAAAAAAAAAAAAAAAAAAAAACTATGGAGTTCATGTGGAATCAGAGATGTTAGAAGGACTACTTTACAGTTTTATGCACTATTCAAAAGAAATTTAGTACAGTGAGAGATAATTAATTTCTTAATGTCTTCAATCATTATGAAAAATAAAAATCCTGTCAAATGTATACGTATGCAATTTCAAGGAAAAATATCAATTACATTAGCCATAACTATTTTCATATTTTTGGCAGTCAACAGACTGACTTCAGCATAAAACTAAAGAACCAATTATTGATTTCTTAAAATAAAAATATTCCATTTTACTGTTAAGTTCCACACACAAATATATACATAAATATAAATATATACAAAATTAAAAAATAATACAATTCAACAATTTTTAAATTTTTAAGTAAGATAACATATCTTAAATACACATTTATCAAGCATAACATTTATAAGTTTTTGGCTTATATCCAAATGAAGTGGTCTTTGTACTGTGTTCAGTGGAACCTTGGGGTTTTGGACATCAAAATCCAAATGAACTTTTTAATAGCATTTGAACTGCAAAACTAAACATCTAAAATATTAAATTAAGTAATATATAATTTTATAGTTACAGTTACTTAAAATTGAAGGAGATTTATTTTTATAAGTAAAATTGTACTGAAATAATTATTTTATTTTATATATAAAAATTTATGCCACATTCATACCTTTTCAAAATATTTTAACATTTATTTTTCTAAAGCTACCAAGGGTTCCACCCCTGAAAAAGCAGTTAAAGCTTGAAGACCACTATCACTCTGGGCCAAAATTTTTTTTCAAAAGAAATATTAAATAATTTTAATGGAATGGCTTTTCTTATAAATATGAAGTAATTTATCACAAAAGCTCTTACTGACTGAAAAAATATTTCAGCTAATATATTTTCAAAACAGCTTTTACATCTCCATAATAAAGGTTATTTACACATAAAAAGCTGTTTCGTTAACAGATAAAGATATGCTGTATATTTTACGAGAATTTTCCTATGTTTTGACTTTCTAATAGACAGTCAGCTAATTAAATATACTAATATCAAAGTTATTTGTATCTTTTGCATAAGTTTTCACAACATGTTATAACAAGAAATTTTAATTAAATATTTAAAGCTTAGTTACAGTAAGTTTTTCTCCCAAACATATATTCAGCATAAAAGATCAGAGTACTATTTGAATACTTATTTAACAAACTGTACCTGGAATCTGATTTACATTCCGAACTTTTTACAATATATGAAGAAAAAAAACTTTTAAAGTTCTTGTCAAAAATTTTTTTATACGATTTGGAAATATCAGAACTGTAAATACCATTATTGTTTAGAAATATATTTATGTGAATGCATGTCCCCCAAAATAATAGGCTCTCAAATGTCTGCTGCTGTGGTGTTTTTCCAGTACACCTGTTCAGAATGACTTGCTACTGATATCATTTTGATCCTGATTAAGGAATGAAAACTTTATATTTAGTTAAATATACATCCCCCTTTCACTCATTAATTAAATGCTATCTAGTAATAAAATATACAGATTATAACATATTAAATATATTACAAACTATTTTATATAAGAATTAACAATAAAAAATTCATTATTTTGTTAGAAAGCCCCAGATATCATGCAAATTTTTCAAAAGTATCAATCTTGCATCTAAACTTTTAAGAATTCTAACATGGATATTTTATTAAAGGTTAAATGCAGTGTTCAGAGATGAAGTTACAAATATAAAAACTTTGAAGGAAGTTGCTTATTATGTAATTGTCTTAAATAATATATCAACCACTCAATAAAATAAATGTCAGTTGTTCATTATATTGTAAAATTCCGTTTGCAAAAACCTTATATAACTGAGGCACTTTTCAGTTAAGGCAGCAAATATTTTTAGATCTCAGATGATTATGAAATTCCTTTTCAGTTTCATTTTAAGATGAATGTTATATATATACAAAAAAAAAAAAAACTGACTAATTTGGAAAGTGACAAAATTTCAAAAATGGATAAGAATACAAATTAATTCTTATATGACTACCTTATTACAAAGTAAGGTACCAAAGATTATTAAAAACAGATGTTATGTGAAAAACCACAAATTTCTATCGACTGATTTCTCAAGCAACAAGAGGTTCACTATCACTATCACAGAAATAATGATCAGTGTGATTTTCAACACTTGAATTCCCAGCTTCACTATAATTAAAATCTACATGACCAGTATTTACATTTTCACACTGAGCATTCTGTTGCAGAAAAGTATGTGGAGCTTTATTATGACTGGTTTCTACTGAAAGTTCACATTCCTGTTCAGCAGAATTTGTAAGAATATTTTCATCTTTACGACTGGGTCTTGGATTTTCTTCTTGACCAGCAGAGTTTTCTGAGATCGGGATAGGAATTTGAGAATTAACAGGTATTTCTGGAGATGGCAAATTCGGCACATGGACTGGCACAATTCCACCAGGTCTTGGGAGTACACAGTTGGAGGACACATAGGGTAACCGTGGACCACTTCTTCCTTGTCTTGGTCGACGGCTCCTCCGCCGGCTGCGATGCACTGGAACTCCATAGTGTAAATTCTCAGTGCAGAGATTCCGGTGAGGTTGATTTTCTACAGCTACAGCATATGATGGAGGAGGCTCTCGAAAGAAAAATTCTCGACTTAATCGCGAGAGAGGAGTTTCACGTGCCAGCATTCTATTTTCCATACGCAAAGCATGAAGCCTACAAGTACAGCTAATGGCAATCACCAAAAGCAGAGCACATATTAAGGAACCCATCAATGCAGCAGTCAATACACTGTTCCTCAAACCTGTAAAAAAGACAGATAAGTTAAGAAAACAAGAAATCAAACTGATTTCCTAGATACTTAATTCAATAGAATATTTTCTATTCTTAAATTTCTATATTCTTAAATTTTTTAAGACATCAAGCAGTAATAAATTAGAAAATAAACACTAGTTTATTGTTTTAAACTGTTAACGTCTAGAAAAGTATTTTTTAATGTTTGTAAATAAATAATTATACATTATATAAACACTGATCAGTACAAAAAAGAATAATAAATATTTAGTTTAAGTTTGAATATTTAAATATTTTATTTCTGACTGAGTTATGAATGAATACCTACTGACAGTATGGATGTTCCTTATATAGATACTTATGCAATTGAAGAAAGCAATTACTTTTTAACTCATCACTACTAAATTTGCAAATGGCGATCAAACAGAAAATTTTATACTAGACACAGAATTTCAATAGTCAGGTGAACAATGAAACAATGCTAATGAATAGTTTCTATGTTATCTTAATATAAATGTACTCATCAATATTCAAATGTTTATTAATTTTTATTACACTAGTATTGTAAAGTAACAAAAATTATATTTTCAATTTACATAGAAAGATTTACATTGAAAAAAATTCTAGATTAATATTTTATGAATGCTTTAGTTACATAAAAAGGCAAAAATAAGCATTTTATAACCACAAAACTGTCACTATTGCATGGCACATCATCTTAATAAAACTGACATCCTTCAATTTAGTATATGCCAAATTTGCAATTTAGGCATCATGAATGCAGAGCATCTTATATGCCCAGAACTAGACAGAGTCTCAGAAATGTGGTGAGATAAGTAAACTTATTGGAATGCCAGAGCTTTCATGAACTCCTTGTAAAGACTGCATCTATTATGTTCCTTTCGTTGTTGTTTAAATTTTTACTTTTGTTCCCATGTTCATTTATTCTGATTCTTTATAAATGTTTTTTTCTTTTTTATTATTTGTCATTGTTCATGTGTGATACTTGAGCTGTTTTATATGTTTGGATTGATATTTCCAATACAGCCATACATAAAAACAGAACCACAAAACCTGCATACATAGTGATACTTAACAGGAAGAAAAATAATGAAAGCTATAATTACAATTTCTTTCATCAGATCCATCTCCACAATCATCAGTCCTATCACAAGTCCAGACCTCTTGTATACAACGGCCATTATCACATAGAAATCCTCCATGTTCATAATTGCATAATTCAGGAACTAGATAATACAAATTAAAGCATTACAAAATAATCCATATCAATAGAACACTTTTATTAAGGTTTATTAAGGTATAAGAATTACGCATCTTAAGATGCCTAAATTAAAAAAAAAAAAAAAAAAAAGAGAGAGAGAGAGAGAGAGAAAAAATGCTATAACTGAGTACTCAAGAAATGGTGAGATGACAAGTATATTCTCACTTTTTATGTATTTTTTTAAACTGAGAACTGTTTTAGAAACTCATATACTTTATTCGAGCATTTATTTCTGTTTCATGCATTTAATGTAAAACTTCCATGCAATATATATCAATTTTATAATCACTCAATAGGATGTACACTTTTTCTTGAGGTTTATAAGAACAGTATTCTTTAATGAGCAATATAAATATCTTGTATTTATTTGGAAAGTATACATAGTTATCCACGTGTCAGTCTAATAAGAAACAGTAAATTTTAAAAGGATTAAAAAAATTGTTAATACTAGTTTGTCAGCAAAAATTTCCAGAGATTCAGATTCTAATTTGTATTGCTAAATTATAATAATAAAAAATAATAATAATGAGGCCCGGTGGTGCAGTGGCTAGCGCATCGTGCAGCAGCACCACAGGTCCGGGGTTCGATCCCTGGGCTGGGCAAGGTCGACTCAGCCTTTCATCCCTGAATTTCCATCTCTTGGGTCGATAAAATGAGTACCAAGTTCGCTTGGGGATTAAACACTGGGGGGTCCTGCGACAAGCTGACCACTTGTTCAGGGCATATGCTTACGCACCCAGGTCAAGAAAGCAGATTTCGGGGCTCTGCAGGCATCGGCCCATTACGGCTGTTAAGCCACTGAGTTTAGTTTAAAAAATAATAATAATGTCAAATTGTTGCAACAAATTTGCCTCTAAATGAGTCAAAGTAAAATACGTTTCCCAGCTCTAGCTTGAAAAAATGAGTTATAAAGATGTTAAAACCCCCAAAAAAGAAAGGAAGAAAAAGGAATAAGTTAAAATTTACTTCAATATAAGCTCTCTCTACAAAATAATTTTTAACATCTGAAGCTTTTCTGTGACAAATAATTTCATGGAATATACTACTTGGTATATTGCTTGTACCTTCAGATTAGTTATCATAAATGTGGTTGTATGGAATATTTTACTTGCAAATCTAATTAGAAAACACAATCCACAGGATAAAATCTGCACATTTAGAAATTCATATTATTCTGAAATATATCCTTTAAACATATTTAGAATTAATCCTACCTATGCTGTAATCAGAATGCAGTATCAATTCCCAAAGATTAATGGGAGCCAAATATGGTGAACTGAGATCTAATACCCAAAATTAACATAAATTTATGTTTTTGTGATGTAAAATGACGGAGCAAATAATTTTTTTTTTTAAATGATTATAAGAAATATCAACTTTTGTACTCATACATTTGTATCATTTTCCCCATTTTACTCTAATTTTACTATTGGGTGTACAAATAAGTTTTCAGGGATTTACATAAGATGGCGTTACTAGTATTAAAATCTATCAGACAATCTTGTAACTACATTCATGTTAAAGCAGCAGCATTTCCATCTAAAAATCAGTCTGTTTCATTTCGCTGTCGTGTAAACAACAAACTTTCTTTATACTGAACCCATGTCCAGCTTTGTACCAACAAAACAAAATTTGCACGAAGTGCTTCTTTTTTGTTATAATTTGAAGAAATGTGCAGTTGATGGACATTGATTTCTGTGTGAAGCATATGGGGAACATGATGATTCATCAATCAAAACATGTGAGCACTGGTTCCAGAGTTTTAAAAGACACTGAGTTGGAAGGGTTACTGGACCAAGATTCATGCCAAACTGAAGAGAAGCTTGACAAAAACCTTGGGAGTGACTCAACAAGCGATTTCAAAGTGTCTCAAGGCCATGGTATGGTGCAGAAACAAGGAAATTAGGTTCCAGATGAACTCAATGCAAGAGAGAGTTTTTTCGCGTGCGAACAACTACTCCAAAGGCAAAATCGGACGGTTTTTTGCATCGAATCGTGATGGTGGACGGAAAATGGATCTACTACGACAATCCAAAGCACAGAAAATTGTGGGGTAAGCCCGGCCATGCATCAACTTCAACGGCCAAACCAAATATTCATGGCAAGAAGCTAATGCTGTGCATCTGGTGGGATCAGCTCGGGGTGATCTATTATGAGCTACTCCAGCCTTATGAAACCATCACTGGAGAAATTACAAAAAAAACACTGAACACATGCAACTGAGCTGAGTATTGAAGCTCAGACACTCCCAATATGCCAAAAGAGAAAGTGATCTTTCAGCACAACAACACTCACCCACATGCTACAAAAGTCGTAAAGAAAACTTTGGAGGCTCTTCAGTGGGATGTCCTACCCGTCGTATTCACCAGACATTGCTCCTTCCGACTTCCGCTTGTTCCGGTCGATGACCCATAACTTGGAAATGTAGCACTTCAAAGAAGCCAAAAAATTGGGTCGGTTCTTGGATCACCTCAGAAGACGAGGAATTTTTTAACCGCAGAATCCGTATGCTACTTGAAAGATTGTGAAAAGTCATAGCTAACAATGGACAATATTTTGAATAAAATACATTCTTTCAATTTCTCTGAATAAAACTTCAAAGTATATATATATATATAAACCACACAACGAAAGGTTTTAGATTGCGTCCAAAGGGGCATTTTTTTTAATGTTTTGTGTGTTACCTTTATTTATTAAATATCACGCTCTACATACTTAAACTATAAAATTCAATTCAACAGCTATATCGAAAATTAATTTTAAAATGTGCATATCTTTAGAAATTCTGATACAGAGTCTCACACACTGGAGATAAAAATGTTTTTTTCGTACAGTCTTGCCAGTGCTTGCTTTGAAATAGTTTAGTTTTTTAATCAAAAATTTGTTGAAGTGTTACAAATTATGAAATTGATAATAAAACAAATTTCAAATTCAAATTAGGGCTTCTACATGCCCATATTCTATGGAAGATTACGTTATTCGAATCTTGATGGCTCTAGATACTGTTGTTTTATCACAGTGCGAGAAACATACATACATTTATGCAGATTCTTCATTATTTAATTTCTTTAACTATAAGACAAGGGGGAAATATATGGTGGCAATGATTTGAAAAGTGATACAGCCTTTTAAAGTTTTCAATGCAAAATGCCAAAACAAAATTAATATTCCTTCAGGGCAAATTGCCCCTTTGGACTAAAAACACCACTGAAAACTTATTTGTACACCTAATACTCAAGATTTGTGAAGAGAAAATTATGCAGTGTATACTAATTCTAAAGAGAAGGGGGAAAGAAAGAACTTGCATGATCCGATTCCTCAGAAAATGGATAAAAGAACAATTTTTTTTATTTTATTTATTTATTTATTTATTTTTATTTTATTTATTTTTTTTTGTGAGAGTTAGCAATTTTAATCAAGAAATTCGTATTAAAATGAATTTTAAAAGGAATTAAGCAAAGAGAAAATTGTATAGTCTAGCCTATTGTAACACAGACCAAAGACAGAAAGGCAATAAACTGACATTAGACCAGATGCTAGCAACGTTTTCTCTAGCTGAGGGTCAAAACCAGCCAAAATGTATTTAATATGAACGTGTTTCAAGTCATTTTCATTTTAGAACAATTTTTCTTGGTGAATATTAAGATAAATTTTATCAAGAAAACAATTATAATATATTTTAAACCTAAAAATTCTAATTATTATAAAAACAAACATAATTAAATGAACTTTATTTTCCTCTTCGATATCAACAGCTTCCCTGATGCTGAACTTGTGACTTCAATTTAGTCAAGCCTGGCTTATAATTATTCATCTTAAGACACAAACAAGCATCTGAATATTTGGTAGTTAGGTTGCCTCCTCTTCTTACTCAAAATAAATTTCATGGGTCAAAATATTTTATTGCATTTATAAGTTGGACTGAATGCGGACAAAATGGCAAAGCCAATTCTTTGAAATAATGGATTACAGATCGGTGTTGTGAAATTTATTGACTTCTTGAAATTATGCTACAATTTTTTAAAATGCATGTTTGTTACTGCAATTTTACAGTCAGGCAAAAGTGTTATTGTTATACAGTACAAAGTCTTTAATACGAACATCCATAATCTGGAATGACCTATAATCCGGACCTCAAAGCTACAAAATTTCTGCGCATGCACATAATATGTTTACGCATGCGCGTTTATGTATAACGGATGGTATAAGCTAGGCTAAAATTATCTAATTATCTATTTCAGTTAATGTTGCAGATTGTGTTGTTCCTTAATTTTCTAATTGGATCTGGTTTATTATTTTTTGCAGACTGTTAGAGCAATTTTATAGAAAGTAAGCTTGAACTTTCGATTATGTCAAAAAGAATTTCCAATTCTGGAGCTGCCAAAAGATCTACAAAGCGAAAGCATGTTTCGATGTCCATCAAACAAAAATTGGAATTGCTGCAAAAAATGGATAAAGGCATGAAGAAAGTGACAGAGAGGTTAGTGAAAATGAAAATTTTGATTGACAAGTTAGTTGGTATTCATGGCACAGCAATTACAGGACTTGAACAGCGGAACTTTGTAACTGAACAAGAAATTATGTCTGTTTATAGAATTAAAGAGAAAGTATTAGCACATAAAACTAAGCAACTTAAACAACTTACATTGAAAGAAATGTTTAATAAACAAATAAATATAAGTTTTTTTTTTTTTTTTTTTTTGTAAATTTTGATACCCTTTAGATCATTATTACTCTTTATTTCATAAATTACGGTTTCATATTTTTAATTTTATAATTTCTGCATGCCACCTTACCAGATTTAAATTGATGACTATAATCCGGAAAAAACCCAAATCCGGAATCGCCGAAGTCAGGAGTCCGGATTAAAGACTTTGTACCGTAATTTGTTTTCAGTTAATATTTTTATGTATTCTTAAAAGTGCTCATTTCATATTTATGTTTTATAATTTATTTTTATGCACT